ATTTCCAGTTGTTTGGTCATATGATTGTAATACACCTTTCCCCAATACACGTATAGCTATTGATAATAAAGTTTGAACATATGGGCATGACCTATCACTCAGCAATTCAACTGGGGGCATAATGCCTCCCCCCAATATCTATCCAAGGAGGCTTTGGCACTGTTGGGAGATATTTTGGGTTTTCCTTTATCAAGTTGACTTATAATATTGCATAGGTTGTAGGGGTACAATCTTATGAGCCAACATCTGATTGTACGGCATTTCGTTGGACAACAAAAATTGTGTGGTGAAGGACGGGGTGTTTTTTTTTCACTGTCATGGCTTGGCCGTGTTGGAGGAGATTCTACTGGCATCAGATTAGTTAGACTGAAAAAGGACAATGATCTGGCCCCAAATGTCAATAATGTCAAGTTTGAGAAATGCTGCAGGTATTGTTGAGGCTTAGTAACTGGAAGAGGGCAGAACAGGAGATCCTGGGAATGGATAATGTTCAGTTTCTTGATCTGGGGGCTGGTTTCATGATAATATTCAATCAGTGAAAATTCGGCAAGCTACATACACTTTTGCAATGTGTCTTTTTCTATATGTGAATCCTAATTCAACAAAAGCAGTCTATGCCTACACGGTGATGGATATATATATTCTTTTTCAAAGCCCTCATCATGCGGGTGCTCTTCTTTCTATTCTATGAATAAAGAATGGATCCTAAGAAGAGTGGATTATTCAAAGATGTTCAGTCTATCAGTACCTTTGCCCCAAATCGTGGCCTTGAACCTGTCTTTCTGGCCCTCCTCACACCAACCAGCAGCATCAAGGGTGGCAGAAGGCCATTGCCAAGAAAACTGGTTTTGTTTTGATATAATCCAATGGAGGCCAACCCCCCTGTGCCTGGGCGCTCTTCAAGATGAATCCCAAACTGTTAGCCTAGAGCTTGTTAACCTGCAGTGTTTGCTAATGGCGAGAGCTTTCTCTAAAGTATGTACTTTCTCTAAAGTATGTACTGGAAGGGCTCCTTCTTGTTGGAGTGGGGGCAGGTGAACTTGCTTTGCATCTCTGGAGACAAAGCTGCTTCCTATCAAGGATTCGGTCAACCTCAGCCTGAGTCCAATAGCATGGATTCTGCTGAAACTCAGGTAGCCCTCTCCCACCTAACACAAATGGACACTTGTGAGAGAGAGAGAGAGGAGAGAAACCGATGGAATAAAACAGCAAATTTATAGATGATTAGGACAGTGGAAGGCAGCTGTGCTCACCACTATAACACCAACCCTGACTGATCAGGACATTGGAAGAAAAATTTGAAATTACTAAAGGTTAGAACTACGTAGGAAGTTTTAGGGCCACATGTGAATTTCATTCGAGCCTGTTCTCAGAGGACCATGAATAATCAAAATCTAGGCTAAAAACTAAGGGTTAGATGAGAAAGGGGCATTAATTATTGAAATGAATGAGTGCTATTCATTTGGAAATCATTCACAGGAACAGCCAATATGGGCACTCCATAAAAATGGACAGCTCGACCAAGTACCATTTATTAGAAGCAAGGGAGAGGACTGTCAGGAAACGTCATCATTCAAAAGTCAATAGTTCTTAAATTGCTCAGACCCCAGGGTATTTGCCTCCACCCCGCACTCTTTTGACATGGATCATGTAAAATAAAGAATTGGAGCACAGATCGAAACCTCAAGCCCAGGCAGACCATGTTAATTATGCAAAGTATCTTTGTAATTGACTAAAACCCTGATTGCCTGGGAAATAAATGTCCATCAGTAGCTACTGGTATGATTTTAACTGGACCTGGACATTATAAATAGACTGCTGTAATGATAAAGCTTAAACTTGAAGACAGCAAGAGAGGTTGGTAATCAGTCCTGGATCATGTGATCTGTTTGCTATTTTAAATAAGAGAACATTCAGGGGCATCGCATAACCCCCAATCCTAAATTTAATCTGCTGAAGAAATACACACAAGTTGCTGAAAAACACATTTTTTAAAGTGGCAGTTATGATAAATGTTCCTGCATCTAGTTAAAGACAAGTGTCTGGTTAGCAGTCAAAGGAACCAAGGTTAGAGACTGTCCTGTTTGGGATTTTAACAACTTTATTAATGATCTGAAAGAGAGAGGCATATTCAGCACAAACACTTTAGGTATTTTTTAAAATGAACTACAACTCCATATTTAACTGTTGCCTTTCTCACTCTTGATAGACAGACAGATATATAGCTAAATATACATGTAACTATATAGTTATGTATAATATAGACAATATGAAAGAGAAGAAATATTCTTATATGATCAAGAGCTTTTCCTAACCAGAGTTGCACCCCAGATAGCGCTTCTAAATTCCCAGGGGCAGAAGTCACAGGAGAGAGTGAAATGAGCATTGTTGAGGGTAAATCTTAGGAGTTTGAGACCACATGAGACTTTATCTCTTCCCTGTGACCCCAGTTCTGCCCAGAGCACCCAGCCTGAGCTGAGAACCTGTCACTGGCCACTACTGTCCAAACTTTTCTCAAAGTCAGAGACCCCATCTCCTGCATGCTACATCAGATCTGCTATTTCTTTCCACTGTGTGCACAACACCCCTTTCACCCATTTCCTTTGCTGGACTACATCTCCGTCGTGTGAAGATTCAGGGTGTTAAAAAAAGATAAGCAGAAGCAAAACATGGCATTTACCTCTCCGCAGACCATCACCTTCCTTGTAGACACACAGTTTCTCTGCAGCCGTCCCAGACAAGGTCAGTCCTCTGTGGGTTCAGGCAGCTTGAAAGAGAGCCTCGGAGGCCCTGGCGCCAACCCCACAGACTAGGGGAGACCAGCCAGCAGGGAGCCAGCAACGGGGGTCCCTGTGACCCCTATATGCTCTTTCTTCTCTCAGGCGTCCTCTGAAGCTCCCCACTGCCCTGGCCCCACGGCCCTCTGCCTCACGTCACCCTCTGGCTCTGCCCTTACACGCTCATGTGTGCTCACTTAGGCACGCCCACACCATGCATCAGGTGCTGCCATCAGGCCTGCGTATGAGATCCAGGTGTCAATCACAGGTGCTAATGGCGGATGGGTGGGAACACCCTGATCCCTTCCATTTAACCTACAACGGTACAGCAGTTTCACCAGAGGTTTATTATGCAGTGAAACAAATGGTGTCCTGTGTTTTCACTTTCCCAACTCGCTGTTTTGATATGATAATGAAAATACATGGAGCAGCTAGTACGGATGAGTTAATGATTAAAAGAAGGGAGTCTGAAATCTCAGTTATAGAGACAAGTCTAATAAAATACTTCCCAGGCAAAAGTTGGATTAAATACATGATGAAATAGGTGATGAATACAATGATGAATCCTAGCAGGCTGAAAAGTTGGGGGGCCCAGGAACACATTCTCCATGGTGGGGTTTAAATGCAGCAGGAGGGAAACTCTGAATGTCTCCCCAGAAACAGAGGCTCTTGGGTTCTTAATTGGAATATGGATCAACTTTTAAAGAAAAGCAAAATTGCACAAAAACTTATGTATCTATGCGACTGTGTACACATGATACAGATTGAAGGTTTCCAGAATATGCCATGAGGCATGAAAGTACTTTGAGCTGAAGGCATTTGATAATCAACAGATGAAGGATGTTTTCCTGAACTTTTTTTTCTTTTTATCTGACTAAAGCATAACCTCCAAAGAGAACACAATTCTTTCAATATCCTCCCCCACAACAGTCTGGGAAGGCTGACTCATCTCCAGAGATAATGAGAAGGTGCCATACCTGAAGACAGACGGAGTCTCTGCCTCATCTGTTCTTTTAAGGGCCTCACTACAAGACTTTCCTAAAAGTCGTTTGTCTTCCCACGTGATACTTAACTCTTCTCCCCTTCTAAGAAGTGATTAGTCTCTTCATAAATGCCTTTCTCCTCCATCTACTGATCTATTAAGGGCCTTTGAGTCACATTTCCTTGTAAACTCGTTTATATAGGTGCATAATTAAAATCTATTCTCTTGCTAATCTTTAGCTGACTTCATTCAAATACTGAACTTAAGTGAAGTTTTCCTCCTCAGCATTATATTATAGGTCCATCTCAATTAACTTTCCCAGCCAGCCAGCCAGCCAGCCAGCCACTCACCCATCCACCCATGTATCTCTTTCTTCCCCTTGTAGATAAAACACATAGACTTCCTCAGACACTTAAAAAAAAAAAAAAAAGATTCAATCACCTTTCAATCTATAAACATTAATGTGGGGAGAGGGAATGGGTTACTCATGTGAGATTAGTATTTCCAGGATGCCAGCCTCCATGAATCCTTTTATCTATTTATCTTCTCTTTCTCTTCCTCTCTCTCGATGTTTTTTGTAGAGGCTTATATACATTCATAATTTTATATCACTTCTTATAAGAGAGTTGGAAGGTAATTTTCACTTATATTACCCTGTTGGGTTTAGAGTGAGGATTATAAGAACTTTACAAAATATGTAGAAAAAATGCTGAACTTCTTTGCTATTTCTGGGAGAATTTGTACAAGATCAGCACTTTTTTTTCTTTCCTGAAATATTTAGAGGAATTTCATCTCTTTATTATTATTAAATCAGCTCTTACATTTAAAGCACTTAGAAAGTAACTGCTATTTGGTAAGTGCTATAAGATGTTAACTATTCTTATGTGCTTATCCATTTTCCTCATGTAAATCATTACATTAAAATGCCAGATAAGAACGAAACGGCAGGCTTTATCCAGAAAGACCTATCTAAAGAGGGGTATTATGCTTTATGCCATTATTAGAATCACCGGTCAACTTCCATCCAATGATCAATTGACTACACATAATATTTTCAGAGGCTACTCTGTGTCGCTTTTCAACCATTCAGTTGTGATAAAAGTTAGATTAATACTATGTGAACAAGAGGTAGGTTCTGAAAGAGCATAATTTTTAAATAATGATTTTGGTTAAATGGATCTATAAAAAAATTGTTTTAGCTAAGATTTAATACACTGGTTTGTGCTACATATTTTCCCTTCCAAACATCACCACCTACACTGATTCTTCTTTCTCCTCCCCACAGAACTTTTCAAAAGGTAATTCCATTCAGTCTCCATTTCTCCTACAGTCACTTACTTCCAAACCCAGATCTGGCTTCCTCTCCTGCCACTCCACTGAAATGACCGAGGACCCCAACTTCCATGTCATGATGTCAAGCTCATTGTTCTGCTTTCCACTCATGGAATCACAGTAGCACTTTGTACACCGACCTGAAACACACTCTGATGGCAAATTCCATAACAGCACGTGCCTCATGCTTTTCTCCTATTTAATTCTATTTCTGTTTACATTCCTAGTCTGTTTATCTCACCTATGACTTTTTATACTGAAGTCAAAGTCTTGAATCATGCAGTGTCAACCATATTGCAAGAGTGTTTATCCTTAAACGGATATCTCTCAAGTGTTAGTGTATATCCACATATTGTTACCTCTTTGGGATTCCTTCTCAGAGACTTTTTAATGCTTCATTCAACAGCATCTAAAAGCAGGCTCACGCAGTTCCTCCTATAACTGCTGCTACAATTCTGTCCCTCAACAAAGGTAACCCCATCTCTCTGGAGACAGCCATCCTTTCTCACCACCCACAGTCAAACAACTGTTAAATCATGCTTGCTTTATCTCCTAACCATATCCCAATATCATTTCTTTCTTTCTTTCTTTCTTTTTCCAGTGCCACTGTTTGAAAATCTAAGCTATCATCAACTGACCAGGAGCATAGCGATCACCTCTTCTCTGATACTCAGTACTGTTAGCCTCCCTAGTAAGTACGGGCAGAGTGTTCTTTCAGATCTCAGAATGTCATGTCGCTGCTTGCAAACAATCTGCTTAATATCTCATTCCAGCCAAGCACAGGTGGTTTTTGTTCAGGTCTACTATCAGTTTTCAATATGTGTGTAAAATAAAAAATGATGTAAAAATAAAGTGGAAATTTTATTTTACCACCCACAAGTAAATATATTTCCCTTTGGCTTGTAAGAATTTCTCCAAATATAAAACAGCATTTAATTCAGAGGTTTGTAATTAACATAAATACCAGAATGTTAGTTTTGTATTTAATACAAATAATAGACCACATGAATAGTGCAGGCTTCTCGAAGCGCCCTAGGCCAGTCCAGAAAGGCACAGAAGGCAGAGAAAGAAACGGCATTGATGACTATATTTTAGGTGCCACCTCAAAGGGGCTGTCTTGGGGAGGGTGATGGTTTCGAGGTCTTAGTGATGGTATCGAGGAGGTAGCAATGGGAGAATTTGGTAGATACCACAGAAACATTAAATGTGGGGGAAGGAGATGACATTTCCCCCATTCAAGGAACAATAAAAACCTACCTGTGGCAGAAGAATCTTGAAAGTTTTAAAGGAGCATAGACTTTGTTTAGACAGACTGGAGAGGTTACTCTAAGGGAGAAAAGTCCTCCCAAAGAGAATTAACCCGGCACCATTTAATTGGCACCGTATGTGATTTGTGAGAAGTTAGAGGGAACTCAACTTGGCTGGCGGCTTGTCCAGAGAAGGAGAAGATGGCATGCGAATACTGAGTCTGCTAGTTTTTATATGGGGGAGGGGGGGAGGAGGAAGGATAAAGAACAAAGAAAAGGGGGGAGTCCTAGGGCCTTCCAGCTCATACCCACAAGGGAATAAGGGAGTTAGAAGGAGACTAGGGAGGAGGAATACTGGAGTCAGGCAGTGCGAGAGGATGGTGAGTTTCTGAGGTACTGAGGCGCAGCTAAGAGTCCACAAACCAGCGGCAGGGCGAGACATGGCTGTGTGAAGCTTCGAAAGAGCGAGGAGAGGAGAGAGCGAGGAGAGCTTGGCAAGAATTTAACATCCTACCAAATTCGCTTTAATTATCACCCTGTGAATCCATATGCCATACATTTTACATAACGCTTTCTGGAAACTTCTATACAAGTTTCTGCTTACTTGAGCAAACCTTAACCTCTCACTTAAAACATGCATTGTCAATGTCCAATGTCTACTTAATTAGCAGTGTTTCCCATACACCCTTTATTAAAGGTTGATTCGGCGCTGATCTTAAACTCCAGCTGCTGTTTGTGTCCTCAACTTAACAGTGAGAATTCCATTTGGGCTACAGAGGAAATAAGACTAACTAATGAAGCCTTTTTCTAGGGTAAATTACTTCATTTTGAAATTCTATAGCAAAAGAACAACAATAAAGTATTGGTTCCACTTTTAAATAAATAAAGGGTTCTTTTGCTACTGAGAGTTTTCATTCAAGTGACTGATCGGATCTCACATGTCTGTTTAAAAATGCCTGACTTAGGTCGGTACAAAATGACAGACTATGATAAACTAGATGATAGTCCACCCAAGACAATGAGGCATTGTTTACACAGATGATTGAGTAACTGCTTTAACAAAAGAGGTTCTTGTGTATCTATTGTATGTACAAGTAAGACATTTACTGGGAGCTTTTATAATTTCTGCAAGGCTCTTTTCCAGCCAGCTTCATTAACTTGAAGTAAATCAAATCATGCAGAAATCTGGCTTTGCCAGAAAGCAACCCAGGAAGATATAATATGAAGAAAAACAGACACGGATGATAAGGTTTAGAATCTTTGGCATTTTTCATAAACATTTTCTTTGAAGATTATTAAATTACAACACAGGGGGGAAGAACATAGTAAAACTCACCATTAAATCCGTTTTTTAATCTCAGACTTTACCATTCAGTACATATATAGATCGATGGAGATGTCGATATCTACATCTATCTATATAGAGAGATATATAGTTATAGACATATCTGTATAGATATATGTATGTACGCAGATATATCATGCATATATGTGTGTGTACACACATACATATTTTGCACAAAGTATGTGTCAACGAAATGTGATTTTTACTACTTAAATATCATTTGAACAAAAAGATATTTGCATGCATTTTATATACACACAATGTTGGTTTATCTAGGCAGGGTACTGTGAAATGGTGGGGTACACAAGAAATCAGAGAATTAAAGTAAGACTTAGAGTTGGTACACTTTACAAGTGAGGTTCTGAGATATATTTTAATAACGAGTAGGGTTTTTTTGTTTGTTTGTTGCACCTAGGGGAACAGAGATCAATTTGGACTGCTAAAGTATGTTTACTCTCTGCTCAAAAGTTCAGGCAAGAACAGCCCGAGACAGTGGGGGACCCACCACAGGTAGGAGTAACCTCACTGCTTAGTCTTTATCCGTCTAAGTACTCTGGAAATTGATCCATTCACCCCCCTGCTCCTGCTTCCTGAAGCTTTCATACTGACCTTTTATTTTGGAAATAAGCAAAATAAAAAGTCAGAAGAAATGGCATTTTAAGACAGCCAAATACTTCCAGGAAACCCATACTTCTTGGAGGGGTCACTTCTTGGGACCCATCTGGACATCCATTGCCAGCAATGGAGCATGATGCAGGCTGGGGTCCAGCACCGTGGACTTCACTCGAATTCTACCTACAGGTCTTGGATAATTAAAGCTGAAAGATTCCTAAGGAATTTGGCTAACCCTGGTAACTATTTCAAAATCCATTTATAATCTGCATTATTTAGGCAGGCAATGGTTACCTAAGACTTGTTAAGACAAAGGAAAAAAGTAGTCACATGAACAATAATCTAAAAAGAGTAGGGAGTGGAGATAACTGAATCTTAATGAGACCCTTTCGGAGGTGTGAAAACAAGTTCAAAGTCGCTCTCAAACCCAAGTGTCTCCCGGCTGCGCTCAGGGTGTGTCCAGACCCAGGCAGCCTCGCCTCATCTCCCGTCGAGAAGGGCACTGGACTTTCTATCCGGATTGTTTCCTCTTGCCGTCTGGCCACGACGCCTCCAAGAAGCGGGCCCGCGGTCTGCAGGTGTGTGTGCACCTGCCGGTGAGGAGGGAGTCCGCCTTTCAGAAACACCACCAGGCCAGGCCTGCGTGTCCTCCACACAGCCTCGGGCAGTGCCCGCGGGCGTGGGAGCTAGAGCCCGCTGCGCTTCTTCCGCAGGGGGCTGTGGCTGCCACAGACCTTCAGCTCCGAGTACTGCACCTGTGAAAACAACAAGACGTGAGGCGGGCGGCGAGGTAACCCTAGCTCACCACCGAGTGTGTTAATGGCTCCCCAAGGACAAACCCAGGCAAAGGAAGGAAGGTTCAAAGGTAATGAATCATTTTCTAAACACAGGAACATGGAGGGATTAATTGCAGGAAGGATTTGAAAAGTCATGCATCATTTCTTGAAACCAAAATATTAAAAGCAGATTTTCCTAATGAGATGCATGGGCTCTACCTGCTCTCGGCATCAGCAGATGATTTTAGTTTTGCGTGAGCCCCTTTTCCACCCTAGGAAAGTTTAATAACTGCCTCTTGGGAATGTTTATCTTAATATATGATACAGCTACTTACCAAGAATTATTCACTTAGAAATATCTAAAATCTTGGGGAAAAATATCTCTGCGAATTACACCTATTTATTTTGCTAGAGAGGGAGAAAAATGTTGAAATGGATACCGAGCCCCTGACTTCGATAGATTCCTCTTAAGAGTGGATTTCATGTGCCGTGTAATGGTTAAAACATCTGCAGTAAACGTGAGCTGAGTCCCCGGTGGCAAACTGTCTGTTGTGTGACCAGAAGGCTCTCTTGCCGATACAGAGGCTCCGAATAGCACTGTCTACCTTCCTGGAACGCTCAGAGGGCCAGTGCCTGGACTGTGCAGGTGGAGTCCTTGGGGAAGAAGGCAGGCAAGAACTCACACTGCCAGCCAAGGGACAGGGGCTGCCGCTGCACTGCTTGGCCTGTGGGTTCTGCTAAGTTGATGGTGGGACGCCATTCCAGCAGGGCACGGCAGACCACGGGTGCTCGCTATTTTCAGTATTTATACCAACGTCCCCAAGGACCTGACGCCCATCCCATAAGTTGAAGACACAGACTCCTGAAGAGAAGCACCCCTATCACCTAGTGTTTCAGGAAGGCCCCTTGGCAGCGAGGATGGCCCAACTGTCCATCTTCAGTGCAGAGCAAACAGGGATCAGGTCATTATTCCGTAATCATGTAATGCAGATGTGACAAACCAGTGCATATCTAGAGAATGCATTTTCATAGCTAACCTTGGCATAAAATGAAGACAAAAGGAAAACAGCATCACAGACTCTAATCTCTAGAACTGGGAATGAAGGGGAAAGACACGTGGGGGGGGGGCTTTCAGACCCTCATTTCTGTAACCCCCACAGTTGCTGGGGGCCTGTTGTTTACAGCAGCGGCCCAGTGATAAAAATCAATACCGATTTGGGAGTCTCTCAGCTAAGAAGGCCCCGTCTCTTTGATCGTCGCGGGGCTATTTCAGGCCACGTGCCGCAGCTACCAAGTCTAAGAGCCCAGGTCTCTGTTAGAGAAATTGTCGCCTGCCTCATTCCGTGGGATTTAGAGAGCCTGAACTCTCTAAATCCGCAGGGGCGGGGAAGGGCTGCTGGGTGGGGCTTCCTGGCATTGTCGCCTCCGTTAATCTCTGTGTATCCACAGAAACGGGTCGCTGCTGGACGGAGTGACCATTACCTGTGAATAATACTCTGATTGATCTCAGATTATTTCACGCCGTCTCTGCCTCGCTGTGTATTAGAGTAAGTGGGGGCTTGGCCCTCGGCATCCCTAGGTCTTCAGCAGGAGAGGGGAGAAGGGGAGGGTGGGAGGTAATTGAGGCAAACAGGAACAAAAAGAATAATCCTCTTGTCCCTTCCTTCCCCGAAAATGCCTGCCATCCAGAAGAGGAGAAAAATAAGAAGCCATCCCCCAGCTTTGGGTCTCAAGCTCCCCACTCACTGAGCCGATCTTATCCTCTTTGGGGGGCGGCACGCAATCAGAAAAGGGACAGGCGCCATGGTGGCCAGGCGCTCAGTATGAGTTCCTGATCATTCTGAAGTTTTTTTGTTTGTTTGTTTTTTTCAGGATAATTTTTCCCAGTCATCTCATGCTTTGGACAAAGGTGTTCTTGCCACCTCCCTGCAAGCCAAGCCTCCTGAAGGATTTTCTGATTCCTTATCTCAGTTACCCCGCAGCTCAGCCTCCTGCTCCTTGCCTCCGGGGCTGGCCAGGCACCCGTTGGTGGTGAGGGCTCATTACGTACCTTTTGAACATCAGAGGGAACCCTGGCGAGGAAGTCTAGTAGCTCATTATTGTCGATGGCATAGGGGTTTCGGAGTTTCTTAGTAAACTTATTTATGCCTGAAAAACAGAATCACCAGTAGATATCTTTATCCATCTGTCTGTCTCTGGCTCTCAATCATCATCTGCCCATCAGTTTTCTACCAAGAAGTTATCAATCAGTCATCTATCAACCATATCTATCTATCTACTTATCTATCTGCCTGTCTGTCTGTCTATCATCTACCTACCTACCTACCTATCTTCTATCTATCTATAATCTATCTATTTATCATCTATCTTTAACCGCTTGCCTGCCTGGGGAAGGGAGATCATTCACAAATAGAAATTAGTGTGAAAACAATGACGGGCCCTCCAGGCACACACATTGTCTTCTTCACAGAGGCCTTTTCTTGCAGCAGGGACGCAGGGACTGTCCACGAGGAGCCTGCCTTCTTCAGCTGTGAAAATCCATTACAGCCCCAGCAGCAGGGTGGCTGAAACAGGCTCACACGCTGCAGACCACAGGGCTCTTGGGCAAGGCTGATTAACAGCCGCCTCTGTGAGAACACCAACGTCCCAGATGGGAACCGGCCGGCACCAGCTCGAACAAGCCCGAGCTTGGGGGCTCTGGACAAACGTGAGGGGGAGGCAGGAGGTGGCTTTTTTGTTGCTAAAAGGAAGCTGCAGACTTCTCTCTCCTCCACACCACCTCATTTTCACAGGCTCCTCTCCTCTCCCTGCAGAACAGAACTCGACATGTTGATTGGGCTTAGATGCTGCAGGCAACTGTGAAAAGTTATTATTGGAAAAATTATCGTACTCCCGTCGCTGACTTAATTTATGGACCGCCACACTGGCGCGTGGGCTGGCCTTGGCCTGTGTGTGGCTGGTTTGGGGGGACTGGGCAGCGATAGCATACAGGGGTCCAAGCCGAAGATGTCAACGTGCGGGAGAGCATCCTCCCGGGGCTGCGCCTCAGGCTCGTGGGGCGCGGACATAGTCCTGCCCTGCTTTTCTTGGCAAACCGCTGGTCTCGGGCCTGCTGCCTGCTGCGCCTGCCTGTGTCCAGAGCCCCTAGGCTGCGGTCTTGTCACCATATGTCAACCCTTCTTCTTGCTGAGTTTTAGAAGCAGAAAGAGGAGGTGGCTTCTGAAGCTTGGCCCCAGAGTGCAGGTTTAACAAGGATTCCAGCTGAAGGCCTCTCGGTCCCAGCAGAGGCGGGAACCCTCACCCAGTTGCAGCCGTAGGCCCCTCCTCTGAAGTCAAGGTCGCACTGAACTGCTCCACAGTCCGCAACACATGAGCGGTTTGATGTGCTTCTGCTTTCATTGAATATTGCTCTGCTTTCATCTCAGGACCGGGTTTCCTGCGCGGCCTTCTACCCGATGTGATGCCAACCTGCAGTGGTGACTTCCCAGGGTCAGAGGCACAGCCGCGCAGCCAATGGGGCCCGTCACTGTTCAGGCGGCCGGTGCCGGGGCTGGAGGGGTCCTTTCAAGTGAGCCCCTTCTGTCAAAGCCCCACTCCTGCCTGCCTCTGTTCCCTCTAGCCCAGGACAGCTTCATGCTACTTCACCCCCACCTCATATTGCTCTCTAAAATGTACTCCCCCGCTACTCCCCCCCACCCTCCAACCACCCCACCAGCCACCCCCTCCATACACACACATTTCTTGAGACTGAAATACTTTCACTGTTATTCTAAAGATATCTAATTGTAGCATGGGCTTTTTGGCAAAAGAAAACAGACTAGGCAAAAATGATGAAGGGAAACAAAAGACATATTGAGAAAAGATATATCTCCTATTGTTAATTATACACAGTGTGCGCATCTGGAGTCTGTACAATGAGCAGCAAGGCAGGGATAATATCACAGCCGATCAAAACACTGCATTCTCAGTCACTGAGAAGATTATAAACCTGCACAGTAGCTCAAGTGCACCCATAAGGGCAGAACTAGCCCACCATGCCTGTGGTTGAAAAACTTCATTGGAATAAAAACACTAAGCACATGCGGGTTGCAAGTTTCAAAAGCACAGCATATTGTCAAGGAGTCACAGCTTCCAAGCTCAGCATAGGCACCATACTGCCAAGTGGGTGCCGTCAAGTGCCAGTAAGAGAGCACATACGCCTTGGTCATCTTTAAGGGGCCCTGGGGTGTCAAGGGCAAGGTCATGGAGTGGGGGGTGGGGGGCATGTGGGCATCTGCTCTGGCTGGATGATATGTCAGCTGGGTGGTTTCAGACCAATCACTTAGCTTAGTTTCAGACCCTTGCTAAGATGTCTCAGACTAAAATTTGAAGGTACAATGCAGTTTCTTAGGGTTAAGGGAGGCTCACATTGAAAGACACAAACGAGAAATGCCACAACCTGAAATGCCATTACCATAGGGGATGACATCACAGCTCTGATTTGAGCAAGTTAAGACATCAAAGGAAGCAGTGATGGGGTCTTCATACTGCTGGGCATTGCCAAGACCCAAATCTGGAAGCCTTGGTTTTATCTAGCAGGTTAGGGGTTTTAACATAAACCCTACAAATAGAATTTTACTTTTTTAGCAAAAACATTAATGATAATAAACTTGGGATCCAAATGTCAATGGGTAACTTTTGAGAGTTGCCCTTTTAATAATCCCAGATCATAAAAGAGGAGATTGGTGGGATGGGATGAATGCTCCAGAAAAAAATAATAATAATAATAATAATCGCTTGAAGAAAGTCAAAGAAAAGAAAAATTGTGTGGCTAGCCACTTTGCATATATGGTCACTGGAAAGTAATCCCTTAAATCAGAACATTCTTGCACTTTTCCTGTTATTTATAAGAATATTATACATTCTGGGGAGGGAGAGTATAGGACAAAGGGTTCTACTTGTTCATGGGTGAAACACCAAGTGCCTGGTATATAGAAGTGCTAAGCTCTCAAAGGAGATACAAAGCTCAAAAAGTCATATTGAAGCTCTAGCTTGGGTAACTCATATCTACTATGAATAAAAAGAAGTGGCTCAGACCCGCCCTTAAACATGATTTCCGATTAAAGCATCTGTGATGAATAACAGAATGGAAGGATTATGGGGAATTTCTCAAAAGGAACAAAAATCCCGCATGGGATCTCATCCAAAAAAATCGCTCTGCCTTCTAGAAGCACATAAATGAAAATTTAGATATCTTCCTTAAATTATTTCTCACTTAGTTTGCAAAAATCACACTCCCACACAAAAGATGGTGGGCAGAGAAAATATAAAGGTCAACTGTGTAGTCTGCAAGTACTAAACATGCAGACTCATCCATTCATGAACTATTTGTCAAGTTTTTGTTAAAGATCTTGTATGTGCATATAGCAACATCAGGGGGTTATGGGAGTGAAGAGGCCAGACGTTTGTCTCATCCTTTACAGTGATGTTGGTGAGTGAAGAATGGTTCCTTATGTCATCATGATATGAGGTTACTTTCATATTCCCATGTTAAATAATTCAGATGTATTAACATTTGTGCAAAAAAAATGGCATTACATATTTATACACCCAAAGTGCATAAGTATTATTTGGGTATATGAATATGGAACTAAGGAGCATACAGTCAAATACTTTTGTTTCAAAGGGTTAAAAAGATTGAACAAAGAAATCATTGGATCTTATTCACCTCTTTTAAAAGTCAATGAAAAGGATTTAGTATTTAATAGTGTTCTGCTTATAACCTTAATATAGTTATAAGCAACACTAGAAATATAACATATAACATTATCTTCTTCTACATCAGAAAGTTACTTCCAGACACACAATCATGTAAGAAATGAACAAAAGAATATTCTTGGTGCATGATAGCAAATAACTCATCTGATGAAGAATAAGTCCTAATAGAATTATACAGTATTTTCCATGGAGTCATGGAAATGACATGATAGAAATGCAAGTTTTAGATGATGAGGGAAGGCTATCATAGATCATGTGTTGATGGTCAAGGCTTCTGAATATATTATCTATGGTAAGCTCATCAATAAACTATGAATCCCTGTCTAGAACATAAAGCTGAGGAACCAGACACAGAATATAAAGCTCAAAGGTTTATGCTCCCTGGAGAGCATAATAAATCCCAGTTATTAAATAATTTTATCGACAACCTGAATATTAAACAAAACAAAGCCTCATCAAGTAGATGCAAAAAGTTGACAATTGAAAGCTACTGAGAACTGGAGGAAACATAAGAAGTCAAAGTTAGTTTGCAAAAACAGAGGAACTAGAAGCAACAATCAAAGGGAAAATACAGCATAGTCTTCTTTAAAAAGGGAAAGATGCAGAAAAGCTGATCAAGTCTGCTCCTTGCATAAGAACAAAGCAGACACACAGACCACTGGAATAGTATTGAAAATCCAAAGTTAAATGCTCATCTATATAAACAGCTAATCTACAGCAAAGGAGCCAAGAACAAAAACTGAAACAAGAAAGTCTCTTCAGTACATGGTGTTAGAAAAACTGAATACAGACACACAAAGTGTGAAACTCGACCACCACCTCACACCATACATAAAAATGAACTCAAATGTTTAAAAAACTTGGTTGTAATACCTGAAACCAACATACAGAGAAGAAAACATAGATTAAAACTCTCTGTGAAAAGGCTTCAGTGATTTCTTTGTGTGTTAGTCTCCAAAGGCAAGAAAAACAGAATATAGACCATTGGAACTACATCAAACTAAAAGTTCCTGCACCATGAAAGAAACTATCACTAAAACAATTGATGAGAGATGCTATTCGCACACTATTCATCTAACAAGGAGCTGACAGCCAAGATCTACAAAGAACTCACACAATTCAATGAAAAGAAAATAAATAACCTAACAACAACAACAAAATAATGGTCAGAATAGCTAAAGAGGAGTTTCTCCAAAGACTTACAGGTGATTAACAGGTATATGGTAAGATGTTCATCATTACTTATTTTCAGGAAAATACAAGTCAAATCCACAATGAGCTACTATTTCACACTCGTGAGTATGCCCCAAGTCAGAAAGACCAAAACCGACAAATATTAGTGAGGATGTGAAGAAAAAGGAAGCCTGGTAGCGACTGGTGGGAATGTGCACTGGCCTGGCCTGGATGGAAAGAGAACGGCGATTTCGCAACATAATAAGTAGGTTGACCATATGACCCAGCCAATTCCACTCCTATGTATCTGCCCCAAGAATGTGAAAACATTCATTTCAATGCATTCCATTGTCATGCAAACATTATGTATAGTATCCAAGTTATGGAATCAACCTAAGTGCCTAAAGAAAAGTGCCCTGGGAAAAGGTCACAGATGTACACAATGGAATATTCAGCTATAAAAAAAAGTAAATAAAATCTTGACATTTTTGACACTATGGATAGAGCTGGAAGGGATGATTCTAAACTAGAAGTCAGAAAAAGAAAGACAAACACTGTATGGTATCACAATGTGGACTACAGAGAAACAAAACAAATGATCTGGTAAAACCAAGAAATATACACTAAATACCTGACTGGGGAACTGACGCTACCAGAGTGGAGGTGCCAGGAGGAGAGCAAAGTAGGGGGAGGAACATCGGCCATAGCAGAGGACTTTCGGGGCCACAATGGTGGGCGAGATGTGGTCATGTGGACCTGAAGGAGGTGGTCCTGTACCTCTAAATCATACATGCGGTTGTAAATCAACATTCATTCAATTAAAAATGTCTGCACTTGAATGACAAAGAAATCATGGGGCAAAGTGTTTAACAAGCTGGCCATGCTATTAATTTACATAAACTTAACAATGAACAAAAGGGTTATAATTTTTAATCATATTTTGTTAGGGTCAGACAACATATTTTAAGATCTGTGGTCCAACTGCAATCAGTAAATGAATCTGGAAACTCTTACTTATGAAATGCAATTAACAAAAAAACCAAGATCATTCATCTTTACGGATAATATTTAGTATTGAAGATATTCAGGGAAATACTTTCATAAAATATCTTCTTAATCAGTGGGCCCTGAATCACCCAAGCTGCCCTGGGAGTCAAACACAGAACAGTGTGGCAGAACTGTCCCCAAAGCAAAATGAAACCAGAAAAGAGACAACAAACTCAGCAGAGGCTGTGAGAAGACATCCCCAAGAATGAGGCTCATCTCATCGGTGAAGAGGAAATTGGACTGTTTTTTCCTCTTGGGCTTGCTACAAAGGAGAGAGTCTTCTATTCTGCCTCCTGGACAAAATAGAAAATGGATGATGTGCTCTCACAATCATTCTGCCACTGACGTTTTACATGCTATTTTCATTTTCCCATGATTTTTTTTTTCTATTTCTGAATGTCTAGGTTTGCCTTGCCTTGCGAACAGGATTCTATCTGTGTGGGTTTGGAACAGTGTGCTGTTCCCAGGAAGGGTGGAGGCATCTTCTTCAGTTTCACCTGCCCTAGGCTCCCCTGGGTGGGGGAGAGAGCCTGGACCTCCCCATTCCATGGAAATAGAGCTGTTACAGGTCCCTCTGTGGAGGCTTAAAGGGAAGAATGTGGCTTCTACATCTCAAGCTGACACTGACCCTCTTACCGTCTCTGTGCATCCTGGCATCTGAAAATCCCCAAGGTGGAGCATGCAGCACCCTTGAAGAACCAAGTCATGGAAAAGCCAGAACTTGCAAACTCTCCTGGAGAACGTTTCTCCCAAGTTTAACTGATGACAACACAATCTCCTATCCTATCACCCAGAGTCCAGACCGTTCTAGACACACTTATCCACAAAGCTGGTGTTCTCACCAGGTGCTAACTTAAGCAGTAAATCCAGTCATGACCTGTATTTCAGGTTTGTCATTCCTGTTTCTGGTTTTTTCAAAGCAGCTGAACTCTACAAAGGCTGAAGATCTCCCCTGGGAAATAACTTCCTCTCCTTTCCAGACACTAGGCAATAGTTAGCCAAGGCCCTTCTGCTCTCCTGCCCCCTCTCTCCAACCATAGCTTCTGGATTAAAGTGCTGGATTCGGTTTTGTTTTCATTTTTGTTTTTTTCCCTCCAGGAGAGATGAAGTGTCAGGAACAACCCTGCAGCCCCCAAATCTTCTTTTACAGACTAGAAAGGGCAAGACGCAGGTGTCTGCTCCTTGTCTGAATTTCAGTGTATCCTGAAAGTTTCTGGGCCACAGTCAGATATTATTCAAGAGTATTCACAACTATGAAAGCCCAGCGAGAAATCGCATGCACAATCACATTTTTATTTGATTGCAATTATGTAAGAGGTCTATAAATAGCTATGCTAATCCTTCATGCAACTGGCCTTTTCAGAGAGGTCCTGGAAATTTTTTTTCCCAAAATGCTTCCCTCCATCTCATGTTTAATTGCCAGCAAAAGCACATTTAAAGTTTATGGTCACACTTTAAAAATGAGTAATTGGTTTTTACCTGGAATTGATTATTACAAAAGGACTGTGCCAGACTTACCCCAGATTAAAATGATGTACCGGAGTGGGATGAAATACAAAGTGACGGTGGTGACTATCAGGATCAAGCAGGCCAGGATCGAGAGGAAAGGGACAGTCCAGTTAAATGTGCTGCAGACAAAACACACTCAGGTCATTTTCTCAGGCGCTCCAGAATCCGCGGTATTTTCATTTCACCAATTACACAAATGCAAAAGGCCTACTGGAAAGTTCTTTTAAAAAACCACCTGGAGATGGGCCCTCCCTAGTGGTGCCTCGGGTTAAGGGGCTGCACTGCAAGCTAGCCACAGCTGCCTCCATGCAATTCAATCCCTGGCCCAAGAGCTGACCCACATGGCGCGGCAGACCTCTCCTATCTCCCTCCTGCGCCCCTCAGCAGTGTGCTTCATCAGTCTGCCTGTTCTGCTCCCCACTCTGTCTCTGGTGAATCCTCTCACCACCACTGTATCTCTGGCCTGCACCCCAGTTCTGTTGCATTAAATAATCTTTTTTAAAATAAAGTAAAAAAAATGGTCTAGTTTTAAAAAAAACACCTGGCCAAAAAGATGGCCAAACCGGCACTGAGGAAAGTCTTGATGTGAAGTCACAAAACACAAGACCATTTCAATGGTCACAACCTTGGTGACCTCATCTTCCTGGAACCCACCGTTTCCCAGAGGAGACGCTGGCACTGAAAAGCCACTAAAACCTGCAGATGCTGTCTCGATGGTCCCTGCACGAGAGTTTCCAGAATAAAGGCTAGTCAGACTGCCTCCAAGTTAGCATGACACATGGCTTCCAGAAAAAAGTTAGAAAAAAGAGGACATGAGGACAGTGTTTCTGTATTTTCTAGTGACTTAAAATTTTTAATTTCGGGCTCTCCCTGGTGGTACAATGGGTTAAAGCACTGCGTTAGGAAGCTCTCCGAGGCCACTGCAGCATGAAATCGATCCCCTACCCGGGAGCTGACCCACAGGACGCAGCAGACCTCTCCTGACTCGCCTGCTGCTCCCCTCAGCAGTGGACTTCGTCAGCTTGCCTGTTCTGCTCCTCTCACCCACCACACCTTTAGCCTGCACCCCAGTCCTGTAAGCATAAATAAATAAATCTTTAAAAAAAAATTAATCTCTAGACTCACTGACCAAAGACAGTGAACAGGCTCTGATGGGAAGAAGGGAGTCAGCTGGGCAGGAGAAGGCACTAGAACCTTGACAGTGAGTATGGGGCAGGTTACACACAAATATTGAAGCATGAAGTCATACACCCCAAACTGACATAGTCTTGTAAACCCATGGTGAACTAATATACATTTTACTAAAATAATAATAATAATAACAATAATAATAATAATAATAACTCCATGGCCTGAAACTGACTGGGGTTCACTTGGACCTGAAATGGATGAAGAGTACTTGGCTGTAAACGTAACTTCGCCACCCCAAAGGAGCTGTAGGGTATGATGCACAAGATGCAGAAGTTATTTTCATGGGATCCAGGCTCCTTTCATTGCATCCACTGTCTTCCATGACTTGTCTAATCCCAGAGTAGATGTGGGGTGTGGAATTGAGTAATCCGCAAACCCAATGCCCCAAGGAGCGCCCTTGAGCTGCTAGAATATGTTTTCTTCCAGGATGTCATTTCCACTTAGATGCTGGCCTGTTTAGCCTTCACCTTGTGCTTGCATTGTAATAAGGTGCATTTGTGGTCTTTCAATTTTGCGAGGAGGCTGGGTTACTTGGCAGGAGTAACACAAAACAGCTATTGAGCGCTAGTATTGCCAGGTAACACACTAATGTTATTCATAATTAGTCTGTGACATTCACAATCATCGCTAAGTAAGGCGGGATTCCCATTTTATATATAAGCAAATCAAGGCTGAGAAATATCATCTAGTTTGTATAAATTATCCCAGTTCTGTCAACAGTAAAAGAGATAACCAGTTGTTTTACCCTCTCAACATGATGGAGTGCTATATTTTAATTATCACCCACTGACAGGTACACTATACATCTGTTCATGTGTTGATACATATATGTGTGCATGTGAGTGTATGTATTTAATCTCTCCCTTCTTTAAAGGATAAATTAATATGAATACATTTACATACACTTGTGCATTTTATTGCTCAGTGATTTCTAGCTTATTTCCTTACCAGCAACCATTCTTCTGGACAGTGATTATGAAAAGAGATTTACAATCTGAGTTCAGGCTATCACCCTCCAACAAGCTAAGCCACTAAAGAACAGTGATTTAATCAATCTGAACAAAATTCTGACCGAAGTGGGAATAATTACAATACCCGTATCATAGAGTTTTACTAGACTGAAACAAGACCATCATTTTAAGTTGTTAGTTCAGTTTTTAGAACATTGTAAAAACTGAAACAAAAGGAAAAAAATTACCATATGTTAATTTTTCCTGGAGCTACTTTACTTGACTTTTTCCTTCATGATTTAAGGTAGCTCTATAGTTACTAAAGAAATTAATCCTTTGTCCCAACAGTTTCGAACATTTTCTAGTTTGTTGCTTTCTTGTCTTTGAAAAAAAAAATCTTGTTTATAATTTGGTTTATGTATAAAAGCTGTATATTACATGACCAAATGATCAATGTTTTATTCCAGTGTAGATTTGGTAGTGCCCAAATCTAGCCCAGAAATGGTGCCACTCGTTTAAATCACCAGTGATTACCCCTTGCCATCACATGCTATTTTCTAATGTGATTTTAAATTTCTTCATAGATGTCCTTCCATTCCTGACTGCAGAAATCAGTGTGTTTGTATATATGTAATTTGTGTTTAAAATAGCTATAAAACCTATACATGGTTTGGTATGTGTAATATAAGTATGCTGAGAAAGCCTCTGCAGCGTGTACTCCAGACTCTTAAAGGTTGTTCTCTACGGCAGGATGTGGAGAAGATTCAGGAAAGATGGAGGTACAGGAAACAGTAGGGAGGCTTTCTGGTTGATGAGTTTCTAATGAATGTATAACAAAGTGAGCTAAAGATAAGTAAGAACAAGACAATATAAAATATCAAAAAACTGAAACTAAAAAGCAAGTGAAATGAAATCTCAAATTTAGTGCCCTGTTTTTTTGTTTTTTTTGTTTGTTTTTTGTCTTTGTTGTTGTTGTTGTTTTGTTTTTTTAAGCACTCAGTTTCCACATAAATTGTGGAAACAAATTCACAGCTAGTTAGCAACAAAATCCACCTGCTTTTCACTCTGGGGTAATAATAGCCATTTATTAAGCTAGTAGTTTTCAATTCAATAATAATTCTATTCCAAATTTTAATGGCTTTGTGGCATAAGCAATTGACTCAACTTTTCGGTTTTTATTTTCCCATATGAAATGGAAATACTAACAATAAGTACTTCATAGTGATGAGGAGGGGAATTAGCGAGTTACAATGTACAAGACATTAAAAGCAAAATCTGCCACACAGTATTATTAGTAATTGCCAGTCTCCTTTTCCTTGGTATTACACAAAAGAAATATAGAAAGAGCTACCTAGGCAAGGTCACATCTTGAAGATAATGTTATGCAAAATGCTTGAAATTACTTTTAGTCAAGAAATAGACACAGTGATTGCATATCTAGTACTGGGTGATTTTTAAAACTTCCTTTTGGAAAAAAAGAGAAAACCAACATGAGGTTGATGTAAAATTAGGAAAACACCAGAATGTGTAAAATAACAGTATTGCTAAGAACTCAGGAAGTAACTAAGCTCCAAAGTCAACTTTCACTTGTATCATTTTTGCCAAATCTTGAAATTTGAACTTAAGTCTGTTACCTACATGGGATGCTAAAGTAAAGCTAGGGCCTCCTCAACAGACCCGAAAAGGAAAGCATTTCCTCAAACTTACACACTCGGGGTGAGGATGGTAAGGGAGGGAAAGGAAGACTGCGCTTCATGGAACAGAAGTTGGAGCAAAGAGCTCTGTTACCATCCCAGTGTCCAGTGGAGTAATTTATAATCTGCCTCTCTGCTACCAGTGCAGTTTAAAAAGCTGCACTGGTAATAATAAAACAATAGAAATCTAAGGTTGGCAGTAACCTCTGGTGGCTCAAGCTGTAAAAAAATGCACTTTCGACACAGGTAGCTGAATATTCTTCCAAATACTCACTGACTCGTCACCAAAAACACGAAACAGAGAAAATACGAATTTATGGTTAAGATTGAAAAACACATAAGGACAATCAGCATCATGAGAAGAGTCAGCGAAAGCAAAAGTCAAATCTGAAACAAGACTTCAGTGGATGTCATCAAACAAGAGGGTAAATGGTGATGTGCAGTGTGTTAAAGGCAAAACAGGGACTTGCAAATATGACCCAGAGGACACGAAGATCTGAAAAATAAAGTATGACCTTCAAAAGTGACAACTACGATGATCATGATTAAAACCCAAAATGCACGGATTAAACGTGCCTTTAAATACCAAGGATTTAGGCAGTGGAAGATAATCTAAAGAAAATCTTTCAAGCCATGATGAGCGCACAAAGGTGAAATAGAGCAAAGAGAAGTTAAGCAGACAGAACACAGACAAAGGGGATCCCTACACTACGGAGAAAACGATCAAAGTAATACTGTGAGACAGCTGGGCATAGTGGAAGCTATTTGGTAACAACTAAAATACAGCGAGAGGCATTTACATTGCTCCGGAGCACAGAGAACGGGAAGGCATGTGTGTGGGTGGGGGAGGGAGATGGACAGGCAAGAATAAGTGAAATACTTAGTAAAAAACACAGGTTTAAAACCTAAATATCTTGGTAAATTCATTGAGTGTCTGACTCATTTAGTGAATTCAAATTTATTAAATTTAAGGGAATGCATGCTGCAATTAAGAGAAGGCCCAAAAGAAGAAAGTGATTTAAAACAACGCAGAGTTTCGATTAAAAGAAAAAGATGGAAAAGGCTATATTATAAAAAAGGATTGTATGACATTCTACTAGTCAAACAAGACATTAAGGCAAAATTTTATTTACTACGTACTCATTATTTAGAGATAAACAGACCATTTACTATCAATCCATGATCTGATTCATCAAGAAAATATTACAAATTTAATATGAATAAGAATAACAGAATAATAACTCTTCAGAATATGTAAAACAAAAGCTGGTGAAAGTACAAGGA